CTCTGTTGGAGCGTCGTCTGTGCACTGGAAGGTTGCAGGTGTATACTAGTAATTCTTTACTATTGAGCACAGTATTATATTTTATTTCTGTTGTCATCTCAGTGTCACACTGGAAAGTGAAAGGAGTTGGTACATGATTTGCATCTGGGTAAATGCTTATCAGAAAGAACAGGTGGCTGTCTAATCCCTGTACATACTATATTTTAAATTGTATTCTAACTGGTATGATATTTTAGCATATTTGAAAACAGGAAACTAGTTTCAGTGTTTAACTCCTAGCCATTAATGGGAATTGTCATTAGATAGTAATCACTAATAATTGTTAAGTGTCTAGTTAAGTATTAAATTTATTAGCTAATGGAATGCTCCCAACAATAATCTCAAGTAAATATTATTGGTATTCCCATGTTGCAGATGTAGAAACTGAGGCTTTGAGTGGTTATATAGGTCACCTAATAGTATGTTATATAGGTCACATAATAGAATAAGGCTAGAATTTGAAGCCAGTCTCTATGACTCTAAAATCTGTAGTGCTAACCATTAGGCTTTGCTGCCTCATAGCCAAACTGGATCTTATCTTTTTCCTACACATATACAGAAGATGAATTTTATAATACTGGCCTAATCTATTATTAACAGTTATTTTAGTCAATGTAATAAAAATGTATTTAGAAATACTTTTTAAACATTTTAAATAGTTTAGGTTTCAGGACAACTATAAAGGAAATTCAATTTGTAGTATAATTCATAGGATCAAGTTTATATTTTTAAAGCAAAATCTCTTTAAACTGGTGACTCAGGTGATGTTTTATTCAGTCTTGCCAAAGATGACTATCATGCTGTGGCACCTTCCATCTTCTTGAAATGAAAATGTGGCATCTTGCAGGGATGTGTCACTTTTGTTCTCATTGGAATTTTTCATGTATCTGTAGCAAATTTCAGGAGCAGTTCCCACTTTTCCATTTTGGCATTAGCTGCACTATATTGAAGTGCATTACATGGTGTCACTGTAGTCAAGCCTGATTCAACAGAGCTTGCCCCAGTGAAGCATAGAAAGTGTTATGTCAGGTGATGTCTCTGTCCCTAGGGGTGGTGACAATTAGCAGGTTTCATTTTATACTGAACTAGAGGCCTGGTGTATGAAATCATGCACTTGGGGCAGGGGGTGTTCCTCAGCCCAGTCTGCTTCCTCTCACAGTCTGGGAGCCCTTGGGGGATGTCGCAGTCGGACATCCTTAGTACTGCTGCAGAGGCAGGAGAGGCTCCTGCCACCGCTGCTGTGCTCTCCAGCCGTGAGCCTGGCTTCTGGCTGAGCGGTGCTCCCCCTGTGGGAGTGCATTGACCACCAGGGGGCAGCACCTGTGTTGAGCGTCTGCCCCTTGGTGGTCAGTGCACATCATAGTGACCACTCGGTGCACCATGTGATTGATTTGCATATTATGCTTTTATTATATAGGATCCTGGTAACCCCTCAACCTGCCCTCCTTCTGATAGGAGAAAAAAGAAATAGAGGATGACTCTGAAAGAAAAGTGAGGCAGCAATAAATCAAAATAAAATGTCACCTTAATTTGATAGAACAGTTACATCCCAGTTATATTTTACCCAGTCTCATTGCACAGGGTAAAAATTAGTCAACTAATCTCACTGGATTTTCATTGAGGTTTGGAAAACAGTTGGCTATTGGATAGGTCAAAGACCTGTGTATGAAGTCCCTATTTGGAGTGGGGGAGGGCTGACAAAAGCAGAGATTTGCTCTTTATGAAGACCCATTTAATAGTTAATTCTTAAGGATATAGGAGACTTTTCTGAAATTTTTTGGTGTAAAGAGCCAGAATTTTAATTTATTCTTGATCAGCATGATACAGTAAAAGGAACCCTGAACTAGGAGTTGAGTTCAAACTTGGGTTCTAGAAATACAGAAAGGACCTTAAAGCATTTAAAGTCTAACCTTTTATTTAATAGACTAGAGGCCTGGTGCATGAATTTGTGCATGGGTGGGGTCCCTCAGCCTGGCCGGCAATTAGGGCCGATTGGGGCGTCTCGCCCAGTCCTAATTGGGGCTGTGGGAGGTTGGCATGCTGGGGGGAGAGGCTGAGGGGGAAGGGGCCACGGGAAGTTGGCTGGAGGAGGTTGACTGTGAGAGCACACTGACCACCAGGGGGCAGCTCCTGCATTGAGTGTCTGCCCCCTAGTGATCAGTGTGCGTCATAGTGACTGGTCAACTGGTCATTCCGGTAGTCCTAATGGTCACTTAGGCTTATAGATGAGGAGCAGAGAAAATAAATGATTTTGTCCAAAGTTACACAGACAGTGTTAGCTTCTGCTCTACAGACTTCTTTTTTATTTGGTATGCTTTTTAGAAATCACCCATGTGATTTCAGATTAAATGTTCAATCAGTACTGGAACCTTTTTATTATTTTTAAAAATACTTTTTTATTGATTTTAGAGAGGAAGGGTGAAGGAGAGAGATATAGAAACACCAATGATGAGAGAGAATCATTGATCAGCTGCCTCCTGCTTGTCCCACACTGGGGATGTCCCATACTGGGTATTGAGCCCACAACCTAGGCATGTGCTCTGACAGGGAATCAAACCATGACCTTCTGGTTCATAGGTTGACACTCAACCACTGAGCCATGCTGGGTGGGCTACACAGGAACTTTTAAAAATGTTTACAGACAACTTTAGCCGTATATTCCTTTCTTCCTACCTCATTCTCACTCCTTAAGGTACATGATTAGTGAAATTATGTCTGTTGTCTTTTCAGTTCCCTTGGATTACATGCTGTCTCTATGTGAGGGACTATTGGCTCCTTATACATCAGGACAGGAAGTACCCAAGTTTCCTTAGGTGATGAGGATTTAAATGAGGGCTAATTAGGGAAGTACAGGCATTGTCTCAGTACCTTTGGAGCCAGAGTTCTGAAAGAACAAGCAGGATGGCTCCTGCTTAGGCTCCAGGAGGACCTGCTTATAGCTGCCAGTTATTTGTCTTCCCCTCAGAATTGGGCTTCTGATTTTTCTGTCTGCACCTTTCCATAGCCCATCTTCTTTGTGTATGCTTCTCTAATTCTTCTTTTGCAGTAGTTCCCAAACTGCAAGAGTATCAGACTAGGAGGCTCCTTAAATTATTCCACTCCTGGAGATTCAGATCCTGTAGATCTGAAGTAGGTCAAGGAATCTGCATGTTTAACAACTTCTACAGGGGATTCTGATAGGAGTGGGTGGGGGTTAGGATCACACCTTACATAGAAACACCCCAAACATAAATCCACATAAAATTTTTGACTCCCGAGAAACTTAATTGCTAATAGCCTATTGTTGACTGGAAGCTTTACAAATATGTATTATATACTGTATTCTTACAATAAAGTAAGCTAGAGAAAAGAAAATATTATTAAGAAAATCATAAGGTGGTGGAAAGGCATGACTTGGGGTGGTGAACACACAATATAATATAAGATGATATATTATAGAACTGTACACCTTAAACCTATATAATTTTATTTACTAGAGGCCCGATGCACGAAATTCATGCAAGAGTAGGCCTTCCTTCTCCCAGCTGCCAGCACTGGCTTCCCTCTGGCACTGGTTTTGTCCAGAAGGACGTCCGGTCTAATTAGCATATTATGCTTTTATTATTATAGCTGTAACCCCAATAAAGTCAATTTAAAAGAGAAAATCATAAGAAAAAATATGTTTACAGTATTTATTGAAAAACAAACAAACACAAAACGTGTATTGGTGGACCCACACGGTTCAAACCTGTGTGTTCAAGGGTGAATTGTATATATATGTAGTACTAGTATTATTAAACATACTAGAGGCCTGGTGCATGAATTCGTGCACTGGTGGAGTCCCTTGGCCTGGCAGGCAATCAGGGCTGGCCAGCCAGGGGGAGGGACCACGGGAGGTTGGCTGGCTGTGGGAGCACACTGTTCACCAGGGGGAAGCTCCTGCAGTTGAGCGTCTACCCCCTGGTGGTCAGTGCATGTTACAGCTACCGATCGATCGGTCGTTTGGTCGTTCAGTCGACCGGTTGCTTAGGCTTTTATATATATAGATATAAAAATAGACAATAAAAATAGAAAAGATAAAAATAAATACATTTCAGTGTTTCCTTCCTGTACCTCAGTGTATCCCTTGGGCTGCTTGCACTTTCCTTGCTACTGTTCTGTGTAGCTTAAATTACACCATCCCTATAGAGTTCCTTTATTGGGAAGAGTAAGGAAAGTGCCAAGGTGTCTCAAGGATCAGCTCATAGGCCTTTGGTTTAAGTGCTAATTTCTTGTTTTATTCAACTAGCAGTTGGGGTGGGGGTAGTGACTGTGAGTCTATATTACATGATATTAAGCAAGCAATTTACTTGGAAGGAGACCTGTGAACCCTCCAGAGGGAAGGGGGAATCTGTGAACATGATAGCTGCCATGGGTCTTATGAACATGTGTCTTCCATCATAGAACTGTGAACTGTTTCTGAGCATGCCAAAGTGCAAAGGTGACTCCACAGAGGCTGTGTGTGCCCTCTGCAGCTTTGCATGGCTTCCCAGAAGGAAGTCTGCTCTGCCCCAGGCTGCTGTACCAGGATGTGTATGGCACAGGGAGGGTGGAATGCTGTTTAGAGAGCTCTGCAGAGGAGAGAGGGACAGGGTACTTCTTGGAATCAGGGCAGTTAGTAGTCATGTATATGTGGCTATTTCCTGATTGATAGGGATATGTGAAAATAAGTTACTTAGAATTTTATTGTTTTTCACTAAACTTTATATTATTGAAAATCTCTAGGCTGGAAACATTTCTTTCTGTCACTTTGCCTTTTTCCAATTGGTATGTGTGCCTACGATTTTTGTGTTCTGCTTTTTATGCTTAGCATTATCTTGTTTAAAGATATCTGCTTGTCAACCTGGTCCCATATACTTGTCATTTTTAATGGCTGTCTATATAATCTCATTCTTTCTTGAGATTCATAAGTTTATTCCACTGAATCTTCTATTTTTTTGCAGGGTATGCAGAGAGATTTGCTGCATTTCTAAAACATCTCTGAAAACAAGCTGCATTTCAGAATTGAAACCAGCATTTCCTTTTCTACTTTAGAGTGCACGCAGGAAGCCATTGGGCACACCAAGGTATTGAATTATCTTTCCATGTCTTTGGGTCTATAAGAAATCTCAGCAAGAGGTCTCAGACACCAAACTGGGGGGAAAATTAAACTTGATATTTCCAAAGAGTCACTTAAGTTTTATTATTGCCACGTTCAAAATGTAGACATAGTTCCGTAATGTGATTAAAGTGACTTTCACCGACAGCCACTGTAAGATACAGCGGTATGTGATAGCTGGTTTATCATTTGGGGTGTAACGATTAGCTAAAGCTATTTTTCTCTAAAGGGTCAGTTAGTTCTCTTGTTTTTCTCTACAACTTCAGCTTTAGCAAGGAGCCATCATAAATTCTGTGACATAGCTGTCTGCTTATCTGTCTTGGGAGTTATAGACTGCACATATAAGACAATTCATGTGCCTTTGCATAATAAATTGAGTTTTATAAATTATAAATCTTCACTTAACATGAAGGTGGTGTTGGGTGCCAGGCTTAGAAAAGCTGATGTGGTTGCCAAGTTCATGAATGTCATAAATCATTCATGCTAAGGTAGCCCAGAATCATGCTGTCTTCTGAGGCCGATCAATATCAAGGTGGTATTGGTAACACAAAAAATGGGAGTCTCAATGATTGTTTTTCAAAATCAGATGCACTTGCCCTGGCCTGGTAGCTCTTTGATTAGAGTGTCACCCTGGTACACCAAGGATGGGTGGAACAACAAATTGATGTTTCTTTCTCTCTCTCCCTCTCCCTCTCCCTCTCCCTCTCCCTCTCCCTTTCCTCTCCCTCTCCCTCTCCCTCTCCCTCTCCCTCTCCCTCTCCCTCTCCCTCTCCCTCTCCCTCTCCCTCTCCCTCTCCCTCTCCCTCTCCCGCTTCCTTCCCTTCTCTCTCCCTCATATCAATTTTAAAAAAATCAAATGTATTTTTTATTTGAAGAGTTAAACTAAATTACCTTTCTCTTTTTAGTTAAAGTCAGTTTTCTAGGACCCTCTTTCACCCTCAAATAATCTATCAATAAAATTTTTCTTCGCTGAAACCGGTTTGGCTCAGTGGATAGAGCGTCGGCCTGTGGACTGAAAGGTCCCAGGTTTGATTCCGGTCAAGGGCATGTACCTGGGTTGCGGGCATATCCCCAGTAGGAGATGTGCAGGAGGCAGCTGATCGATGTTTCTCTCTCATCGATGTTTCTAACTCTCTATCTCTCTCCCTTCCTCTCTGTAAAAAATCAATAAAATATATTTTTAAAAAAATTTTTTCTTCCCTGACCCTTGAATTCTATCAGAAATCCATCACAAAATACATAACCTGTACATTTGCAATCCAGACTTAATGGGCTGAAAATGAGATTTAGATGTTTCAGTAAATCTTGAGGCACATTATTAGGAAAAAACCCTTTGAATTTGGGGGGGATTTTCTTCTTGTGCCATTATTTTACATGAATAGTAGGCAAACTTAGCCCTCTTTCACACACTGCCTATGTCTTTGGTACCAAAGAAGGGGGAAGCGTAGGGCTTGAAGAGAAATGATGCTTGGGACAGAAAGCTGTGTAGTATTTTGTGCCCCTTTAAGTTCCCAGGCTTTATCTAGACTGCTGGAATATGAATATTAAACTGAATTGTCTTCCCTGAGAGCTGCCCAGTCGGTGAAAATGAAGAAGGCTATGGATATTTCAAGAAAAACATAAGAGTGATTTTGGTAAGATCTTTAAAAAGAAAAATAAAGTTTTTCCTGAGGCTGTTAGGTACTCCAAGAGTAGTTAAGTGTCTGTATCCCTTTGTGTAGTCTCCAGCAGAGGGCCATGTGACTCATGGATAACATGTGACTTCTCTTTGGCGGACTACAGAGGTCCTTTTGGTGTGAATAGCTACCTTTTCTGTGTTCATCATGTGGATAGCCTATCCTTGGTTAAAGATCATAGGGGTCACCCTGATCAGGTAATTCAGTTGGTTAGAACGTCATCCCAATAAACCAAGGTTGTGGGTTCAATCCCAGGTCAGCAATGAATGCATAAATAATGGAACAACAAATCTCTCTCTCTCTCTCTCTCTCTCTCTCTCTCTCTCTCTCTCTCTCTCTCTCTCTTTCTCCTCTCATCAAGAAATAAAAACTAGCTCTAACTGGTTTGGCTCAGTAGATAGAGTGTCGGCCTGCGGATTGAATGGTCCCTCTTAAACAAACCTATCTTTCTGACACCTGCTCAGAGTTGTTATCCTCCCACCAAGCTATGGTTGCCATCTGCACCTCCTTGGCCACTTCTATTAGGGTGTCTTCACACAAATAAGCAGGCTGATTAGTCAGAAAGTTCCAACTCATACTCTGGGGATGGAGAAGCCCTTGGGGCTCCATGGTACTTCACTTGCTCCCTTACACCAGCCTCCTGTGACCCCATGCCAAGCCCTATCTGGCCTCTATTCATGTGGATCCAGTGATAGGAAACAGGCAGAGAGGATTTCAGTATCATCTGGGTAGTTGGACTGAGGCCTTTAAGTTCCTTCAGTTCTACAATTTTCACTTGCTTTGTTCTTAATTAACATTTAAAATCCCCCACTTCCTGCTGATCCCTTTAGCCTTCTCAGTTTGGCCTCTTTCCTGCTTTATAGGTAGATACACTCCAGCCATACAGCCTTCTTTCAGTTCCTTGAATGTGTTGCTTCTGACTTTCCATATGCCCTTTCTTCTCCCTGGATCACTGTACTCCCCACCAGTCATTTGTCTAACCCTATTTCAGGTCCCAGTTTTAACGCCACTTGTGTTAGGCAAGCTTCTCCAACCCCCAGACTAGATTAGATTTTTAATATCTAAAATAGTCCTGCTTATTACCTTCCATAGTATGTTGTGCATTTGTATTAGTTAAACTACTTTTTATTTTTTTTATTTTTATTTTTATTTTTAAATATATTTTATTGAGTTTTCACAGAGCAGAAGAGAGAGAGTTAGAGAGAAACATCAATCAGCTGCCTCCTGCACATCCCCCACTGGGGAAGTGCCCACAACCCAGGCACATGCCCTTGACCGGAATCGAACCTGGGACCTTTCAGTCCGTAGGCCGACGCTCTATCCACTGAGCCAAACCGGTTTCGGCTAGTTAAACTACTTTTTAGTAAAATTTTGTTTAGTGTTTATCTTCCCAGCATTTTGAAAGCTCCACATGTGCAGGGACTCTGTCTGTTCTGTTCAATATTTTATTGCTAGAACCTAGTCCTATGCCTGACTCCTAATAGCTGTTCAGTAAACATTCATTGATTGGCCGACTCTGCTTCCCCTCTCAATCATGCATTTCTCCTGCTGTTCATTCATGTACTGGTTTTCTCCTGGGGCACTTTTGTGGGTTCTTCAGAAATCTGTACTACCTTACACACACACACACACACACACACACACACACACACACACACACTTGACCTGTACAAGTAAACTCGCCTCTGTCAGCTGCTTTCTTCCTCAATAGCCCCTCATAATGCAACAGTCTATTTTCAGTTTCTCCATGAGAAACAGGTCTTTGCTCACACAACCTCTGAGACTATGGGCAGATTCTAGTATTGCAAAGCAGCTGCTAGCCCATACAGTGATCCCTAAATTTCTTGAGCTGGAGTCAGAAATCAATTCAGTCTGCCCCTCTAACTTCAGGAGACCCCTTGAAGCTCTCTTAGAGGTCCCCTTGAAGCCCTTCTCATTAGGCTTGTGGTAAAATGCAGGTACCCCCCCCCCTTTTTGGAGGGGGTACCCACAGCACATCAACACTTCTAGCCCAATAAAACCTTTCTAAAACCTTTCTCTTAATATCCATCAGCTTCTTTTTCCCCTCGATATGGGGTGAAGGTTTTAGAGTTTTATAATTGTTTTTCAACTGATTTCTATGAAAATTTTTGTTGTTGTTGTTAATCCTCACCCAAGGATATTTTTCCATTGATTTTTAGGGAAAATGGGAGAGGGAAAGACAGAGAGAAACATTGATATGAGAGAAACACATCAATTGGTTGCCTCCTGCATGAGCCCTGACCAGGGCCTGGGCTGGGGAAGAGCCTGCAACCAAGGTACATGCCCTTGACTGGAATCGAACCCAGGACCCTTTGGTCCAAAGGCCGACACTCTATCCATTGAGCATTACTGGCTAGGGCAGATTTTTATGAAAATTTACATATTTGTTGGCACCTCCCTTTGGTATGACATGGATGCTACACAGTGAAGCCTGTCAGCTTCTAAATAGAGTAAGTAGTTGCTATAGTTAAACATGCATTTTAGGAAACAATTTATTTCTGAGTAAGGGTAGATAATGTCATTTTCTCCATCTCTCTCTGTTTAGGAAGTTTACTTGTCCTCATCTATAAAATGGAACCCCATCCTTTCTTTGCCTCAGTAAGGACAGAGAAATAAGAAATTGTGAGCATAAAATGACTCTGGATGGACAACAGGCCCTGGGGAATAGTTACATAATCTGCAGAGGAATAATTTATCATAAAGAAGGGAAGTAGAGATGAAGGGCTTAATGGAAAGAAGAAAAGAAAATACCCTGGTCATCAGTGTTTTTCTAAAACCCATCCTAACCCCTTCTACCCCTGCCCTGGTTTGGAGCTGTTTTCTTGTTATATACAGGTCCCTATTATAGCACTAAAACAATGCTTGTGCAGAGCAGAGCCAGCTCCTATTAAACCAATAATTCTTGGTTCTGTGTTTTCTAGATGTATTTGTGTCTGTGTCTGTGGGTTGTAGGTAGGAGGGGGTAGATGTCATCACTTTTGACAAAATGGCAGAATACTCTATCATGATGAAAAGCATGTTGGTCTCCTGGTTCAGAGCCAGAGCCTGCCTTGTAAGGAATTCAAAGGCTGCACCCCGGAGCTGCTGTCAAGCCAGCAGATGGAGTAGCAGTCCTTCTCTGTGTGCCTCTGGGCCCACCTGGGCTGGTATGCTGGGTGATGCTGGGCCCAGCCTGTGGCCAGAGGGGACAAGGAAATGAATACAAATGATTGCACCTTGTTGCCAGCACTGTTGTCCTGTCTGCAGGGAAGTTTGGTAAAATATGATCCTG